TCTCACTGTCCCAGGGATGAAGGCCAAGAAACCCATCCAGACCAAGTTCCGAATGCCGCTCTTAAACTGGGTGGCCCTGAAACCCAGTCAGATCACAGGCACCGTGTTCACGGAGCTCAACGACGAGAAGGTGCTGCAGGTGTGTGCTGCCTGGCCTTGCCCCAGTGTGGGCACGGAGGGAGGGCCTCACTGTCCATTCTGGGCACCTCACTCCCATCCCTTTCTATATATATATTTTAAATTTTTGGCAAATCCTCGCCCATCCATCCTTCAGCGGACGGCCTGGGGTCTGGGTTGGCTGGGCTGGGTGTGCCTCTTCCTCCTAGCAGCACTCACAACCCCCTGCTTCCCTGCACCCCGTCATGGCCTGCTGTTGGGTTACCCATCTTTCCTTGCATGTGGCTTGGTCAACCCTCAGCGAGGAATGTACCCAGGCCTCAGCCCTGCCCACCCAACCTCCTTTTCCTGGCCCCTCAGGAGCTGGACATGAGTGACTTTGAAGAGCACTTCAAGACCAAGTCTCAAGGCCCCAGCCTGAACCTCAGTGCCCTCAAGGCCAAAACGACCCAGAAGGCCCCTGCCAAGGCAACTCTCATTGAGGCCAACCGGGCCAAGAACCTGGCCATCACCCTGCGCAAGGGGAACCTGGGGGCTGACCGCATCTGCCAGGCCATTGAGACGTGAGTAGCCTAGCACTGGGCTGGTGGCCGGGCCAGGGTCCCCAGCCAGGTCCCAGAGATTGAACTCCAGCCATTGGACAGAGTTCAGCAAACTCCATAGCAGGCCTGGTCAGGGAAGAGGGCTAGGAGCTGTGACCCTATTGAAAACAGTAAGGCCACATGCTCAAGATGGGACATCTCACGGCCCTTTCTGCCTCCTGGTCCAGCTGTGGGCACCCAGGCCCAGGTACATAACTAGTGTGGTAGAAGGGCGACTCCGGGTTTCCCTGCCCCCAGTTCCCTTGTTCCCAGAGGCCATCAGCACATGGCAACCCTGAAAGTTCATTTACTCAGCCAAGGAGGTCCTGCTCTTGGGTGGGCGTGGAGTTACACCCCCACTGCACTTGCAGGTATGACCTGCAGGCCCTCGGCCTGGACTTCCTGGAGCTGCTGACGCGCTTCCTGCCCACGGAGTATGAACGCAGCCTCATCGGCCGCTTTGAGCGGGAGCAGAGGCCTGTGGAGGAGCTGGCCGAGGAGGACCGCTTCATGCTGCGTTTCAGCCGAATCCCGAGGCTGCCAGAGCGCATGGCCACACTCACCTTCCTGGGCAACTTCCCGGACACTACCCAGATGCTCATGCCGGTGAGGGCCTGGGTGGGGTGGAAAGGAGTCTGGCAGTTCCAGAGCCTCCTGGTTGGGTGTCCCCCCCAACTCACCTTGCTTCCCCTCCCCCAGCAACTGAATGCCATCATCGCAGCCTCAATGTCCATCAAGTCCTCTGACAAGCTCCGCCAGATCCTGGAGGTAAGAGGCCAAGCCCAGGCCCCTGGAGTGGACCCCCTTGGCCTGCCCTGAGGATGTGTGAGAGGGAGACCAGGCCCTTTCCTGTGCACCTCCCAGACCCACACTCACTGCCCCTGAGTCGATTCTGACTCATAGCGACCCTGTAGGACAGAGTGCAACTGCCTTTTGGGATTTCTGAGATCCGTACATCTTGATGGGAGCAGCCAGCCTCTTCTTTCTCCCACAGAGCGGCTGGTGGGTTTGAATTGCTGCTCTTGCAGTTAGCAGCCCAACACATAACCTGCTACACCACCAGGATGCCTTCCTATCCACCTAGCATGCTCTGAAGATAGGGACTGCCCCCCTGTCACATACATGCTTCTGATGGCCCCTTAGGAGGAGAGAGCTGGGAGAGGCTGTTGACTACAGTGCCCTCTGTCTGGTGCCACCCTGAGGGCTCAGCCCCAGTGGGAACCAGCTCTGGGATCACACCTGGCCCCCAAGAGAGTTAAGGAGCCATTAGCCAGCTGTGCTGAGGGGGCCCTATAGGCAGTATGTGGGGCTTGCCTTTTGTTACAGTGTGCTGTTTACCTTCAAGGGGGTCTCTGCAGCTCCAGCATGCCCCTGAGTTCTCTCTTGTCTCCCCTTCCTAGATTGTCTTGGCCTTCGGCAACTACATGAACAGCAGCAAGCGCGGAGCGGCCTATGGCTTCCGGCTGCAGAGTCTGGATGCGGTGAGGGAGCTAGGAGGGACCCGTGGCCTGGGGCCTGGGGGCTGGGGGTGGGTGGGTGGTCGATTGCTTATGACAGGCCTTCCCTGGAGCAGCTCCTGGAGATGAAGTCGACGGATCGCAAGCAGACGCTGCTGCACTACCTGGTGAAGGTCATCACTGAAAAGTACCCCCAGCTCACAGGCTTCCACAGCGACCTGCACTTTCTGGACAAGGCTGGTGCAGGTACGGAACCCACGGGTCCCTGGGTGCAGAGATGGGCCAGTCTGGGGAGTGGCAAGCGGTGCCTGCCACGGGGGTGGGAGTGCAGCTTTTTGACGTGCTTCCCCTGTACTGCCCCGCTCCACCCAGTGTCCCTGGACAGCGTCCTTGGGGATGTGCGTTCCCTGCAGCGAGGCCTCGAGTCGACACAGCGGGAATTTATGCGGCAGGACGACTGCCTGGTGCTCAAGGAGTTTCTGAAGGCCAACGCGCCCATCATGGACAAGCTGCTGGCAGACAGCAAGACGGCTCAGGTGCCAGCAGGGACTCGGAGGCAGAAGCATTGGGGTCTGGGGTGGGGGGTGTGGCCAGGCCCTGGGGGCGCTGGAGCTCCTCCTGGTCTTGGGAAGCAGGGAAGAGATGTCTTGCAGTGTCTTGCAGGGGCTGGGTGGAGGTTCTCCCGAGGGCATCTTGTGCTGATGGGCTGATGGTTGTGTCCGCAGGAGGCTTACGAGTCTGTGGTGGAGTACTTTGGGGAGAACCCCAAGACCACGCCCCCCTCCATGTTCTTTTCCCTCTTTAGCCGTTTCGTGAAGGCTTACAAGGTTTGTATCTGGTGGGCAGGGTGGGGGCTGCTTCTTTCTTGGGGGAAGGATGAGGAAACAGGAAGGGCAGCCCTCATGGAGACCCCTCTTGGCGCCCCCAGAAAGCTGAGCAGGAGGTGGAACAGTGGAAGAGAGAAGCGGTGGTCCAGGAGGCCGACACTGATGCCCCTGGCAAAGGGGAGCCCTCCGCACCCAAGGTGGGCAACAACCAGTGAGCCCCTCTGCAGGGATGGGTGGTATCGTATCACCACCACCCCCTAGTCCCCTTCACTCACTCACTGTGCGGACAGACCCTCCAAAGCTGGTGTCCCAGAAGCCCGGGGATGGGAGTCTATGCCCTCTGCTCAAGCCACTACCCTTGCTGAGTGGGGGTGGCCAGACAGGTGTTGTTGGGCTTTGAGGTGGGGGGGGGAGATGCTGAGCTGGAGCTCTCTGTCCCCAGTCCCCGCCCAAGGCCCGAAGGCAACACATGGACCTCATCTCAGAGCTGAAACGGAAGCAGCAGAAGGAGCCGCTCATCTACGAGAGTGACCGTGATGGGGCCATTGAAGACATCATTACAGGTGAGGGCTGCTAGCCTCTGTCCTGGCCGTGGCCTGACTTCCTGTGCAGGCCTCTGTCTGCACCCCCTTCCTGGGTGGCTGCCTCATCTCCTCTTGCTCCTTTTTCTGTCTCCCCTCCCCCTTTCTTCCTCTCTCCCCGCTCTCCCCCCTAACACTCAGTACTCAAGACGGTGCCCTTCACGGCCCGCAGTGGCAAGCGGACATCCCGGCTCCTCTGTGAGGCCAGCCTGGGAGAGGAGATCCTCCTTTAGCTCCGAGGTACTCCGGGGCCCAGCGGCTGCCCCACTTCACTCCCCTCTGGGGGCACGGCCGGTGCCTGCCAGGGATGTGCTGGAGGGGGGTTGGCACCCATGAGCAGACCTCCCACATACAGCACCACCGGCCCCACAAGGATGAGGCCTATGCTTGGGAGTGGGGGTCCTGCCCATCCCAGACGCCTGATGCCTCGCTGTGTCTCCTCTCAATCGCCAGATCTGCGGAACCAGCCCTATATCCGTGCAGACACTGGCCGCCGCAGTGCTCGCCGGCGCCCTCCGGCCCCCACCCTGCAAGTCACCTCGGACCTTGCACTGTAGCCACCATTCCTTCAGATGGACTCTGCCGGAGGGGGTGGGGCCCTGCGTTGGCCAAGGCTCAAGAAAGGAGGTCCTTAGCTCGGCTGTGCCGGGCAGCCCCCTCCTCTGCTGCCCCCCCACCATGTGCTGGCGCGTCCTTCTCTTGCCACTGCGGGGAGCATCGCCGGCCTCTTCCCGCAAATGCTGCTTGCAGCACCCACCTGTCCCCCAAAGCCATATATTTAGGCCTAACTGGGGCCTGGCCTGTAACTTATAAAGTGTAACCTCCCCCCCCACCTCGGCTCCCCACAAGCCCTCAGTCCCAGGGACTCTCCGAAGACCTTATTTTTATACAAGATTAATAAAGAGATTTGCAACACTTGAGCGTCCACGCCGTGCCGCCCGCGGCGCACGCAGCCTGGTGGCGCTCAGCAAACGCTTTACTTGTTCAAACTCTTCAGCGCCGGGCTCTGCACACAGGCCGGCGGCGGCGAGGGCGGCTCCTTCTGCACGAGCGTCGGCGGAGAGGGAGGTGGCTTCCAGAGGTGCACACATTCTGGGGGCTGGCCCGCGAACCCTAAGGGAGGAGAAGAAGGGGGCATGCGGAGTCCAGTGGACAGCTCTGGTAGAGGCAGGCGTCTGCAGCGGCAACACCCGGGTCGGCCTTTCAGCTGCCCTGCCGCTGCGCTGCCAGCCCCGCCCCACCGCCCGTGTGCCCAGTCCCTTCCCAAGGCCCTCTCCCCTCCCCTCCACTCATGCCCTCACTCTTGGCTGACTTCATGGTCTCTGTCCCCATTTCCTCGGGTTCTGCCCCCAATCTCGCCTGTCCCTCTCCCGGCCTAGCAGGCCCATCTATCTGTCCGCCCTGCAGCTGTTACATACCCTAGAATCCCCCATTCTCCTGGTCGCCGCCCCTCGCCCAGCTAGGCGTCAGCCCCGCCCCTCTTTGGCTCGCCCCGCCTACCGGCCTGCCCCGCCCCGCCCCTCGCCTGCAGGGCCCCGCCTCCTGCCCGCTCTCACTTCGGCTGAGCGGCCGAAGGCGGCCTCGGCTCTTGGGGCGACTGGGCTGGTAGGGCCTGGGAGGTCGGACCTCGGGCCGTGGCACCCGGCTCATTTTGCGCTCCGGTCGCGTGCGTGCGGCCAGGTTCGGGATCTGAGAGTAGGGACTGCGCGCTCCTGCTGTGGGGCGCCGGGGAGGAGCCCGAGCGGGGAGGGAGGTTTGGTGGGTCATTGGGGCGGGGAAGGGACCCCCGAGGGGACCCCCACTCCTCCCCCCACCGCAGACCCCGCCCAGCGCACTCGGGCGCCCAGCTGGGGGCGCGAGGGCTCACCGGCTCTGTGCAGCCTGTGAAGCGAGCGCGCGAGCTGGACGCTGGAGAGGCCGCTGACGCGCGCGGCCTGGCAGAAGAAGGAGAGGCCCGCGAGGGTGTGTGGGGAGCGGTCTCGGGGCTGCCCCATCCAGCCTGGGTTCCGCCGCCGTAGAGCCTGCTGTTTCTTGGAATAGTAGCTTGGAGGAGGAAGGGGGTGCCGTCGTCTCAGATGCACCCCGTCCGGCCCCACCGTTCCCATCTCACTGGCTAGGAAACCCGAAACCTGACCGAAGCCACTGTCACTGGCCTGGAGCGCCCACCCGTTTCTGGAGTGGGGGGCCTGCCCCTCGCAGGGGCCTTTAAGGTGGGAGTCCTCTGCCCACCTCACCACCTCCTGCACCGACTTGGCGGGCAAGGAGCCCTGGCCCAGCAGCTTGAGCAGGATCTCGAAGAACAAAGTCCGCAGGCCCTGGGGGTCGTAGAGCCGGCTGTTCCTCACCCAGCCTGGGAACAGAGGGCGTAGGGGTGGAGTGTGGAAGGTCCTCGGAAGGGTCTGGCCTTCCGCTGCCCCACCATCCTTGTCCCTCACCTAGGCACTGTGCGAAGCGATGGGTGTCAGTGAGGACACCCAGGAAGTCCTGGAAGCTCACGATGCCATCACCTGGGGAGAGAGTGTTTCTGTGTGGCCCAGAGGACCGGGGTGCGCTGCTTGGTTGGGAGATAGCTAGCACCCTGCCTTGAGAAGGCCTCAAGTCAGGACTTGGGTCAACACAAGGCAGCTGTCTTTAGGAGCTATGGGATTAAAAAACAAAACCCCTCAAAACAAGCCCCCTGCCAGTCAATTCCCACTCATAGCGGCCCTATAGGACAGGGTAGAACTGCCCCAGTGGGTTTCCAAGACTGTAAAATCCTTACAAGAACAGAAAGCCTCAATGACTGGGGGTTTCGACACTATACCACCAGGGCATAGGGTGTGTTCATCTGGGTGGGTTCCTGGAAGTGAGGGGTGCTCTAAAATAGGAGCAGGCCAGGGACTTTGTGGGCAAGGGAAACAGTCTTCAGAGGTCCCACACGGACAGGGACGGGGTACCCACCATCCAAATCCGCCTGTCGAAGGGCCTCACACATCTCCTGTGGACTCCGGTGGATGCCCACCAGGCTCAGGGCAGCTCTGAGGCTGCGCATGTCCACGGTGCCTGCAGGGCTGGAGCTGAGCATCTTAAAGATGTCCTGGAAGGCTGAGGACAGGGAGGCGGGGAAACCTCAGCCTGTGGCTGAACCTGGATCCATGGGCTCTAGTGGAGCCCAGGGCTCCGCTCCACCTCAGCCCCCACGGCTTTGTCTTTTTGGAATACAAGGAACAGCAGTGGCCACTGTGTTTGTGCTTGCCAATTGCCTCCGATGCTTATTTAATGCCTGTCCAAAGCTGCATCCCCAGTTTTGGACCCGGCTGTTGGGCTCGGGAGTTCAGTATTCTCAGCACGCAGATGTCACAGACATTTGTGGATGAGGAACACAATTATTCTGATTTGGGGGTGCCCTGTCAACATCAAGGCCTGATCTTGAGGGGGCCTTGAGGCAGTGTGGCTCCTTCTGCGTTGAACCTCAGAGTCCTGGAGTGCTCTCAGTGTTTTCTCCTCGCCTGCCTTCCTCTCTCGTCCTTCCTCCCATTCTGTTCATCTGTCCCAAACTTTCATTCCCCCATTCACCAAGCCGACCACATACACACACCTCCTCTGGGTTGACCACAGCCCTGGCTCTGGGGTCAGAGATGACTGGTGTGGAGCGAAGGTTAGAATCTAGAGCAGTGGTTCTCAACCTTCCTAATGCCACGACCCTTTCATACAGTTCCTCATGTTGTGGTGGCCCCCGACCATAAAATTATTTTCCTTGCTACTTCATCACTGTCATTTCGCTACTGTTATGAATCGGGCGATCCATGTGAAAGGGCTATTAGACCCCCAAAGGGGTCAAGACCCACAGGTTGAGAACCACTGATCTAGATAATCACCACCTGCTTCCGGCAGTGACCCTAGCCAGGCAAGCCCTCATCATGCCACCCTGAGCAGCCCCTCTTTTCCCAGCCCTAGGGCTCGCACCTGCCAGCTGCCTGGACGTCAAGTTCCCCTTGGTCAAGCTGTCCGGGAGGGAAGAGGTTGGAAAGGTCTTTGGACCTGATACAGAAAGATGCCAGAGCCAGGCAGGCTTCCTCCCCCACCCCCAGAGCTCTGTACTTGTCTGCCAGACCCTGCCCTCACCTGTTAGACCAAAGGCTTGGCTGGGGCTGCCCTGTATTGGGAACCCGAAGGCCCTTGAACTTCCTTGCCCCCAACATGGGCTGTTCGGTCCCCATGGCCTCTGCCTTGTTGGTTGGCTCCATCCCGGTCCATAGCTGCAGCCTCTGTGCCTTTGTCCTGTGCACCTGTTCTTCCCTTGGATCCCGTGAGAGCAGACTCAGAGGCTTCGATGGAAACCTGGGGAGTGTGAAAGGGCAGGACAGAGGGACCCAACCCACTTTCCCAGCTCAGACTCAGGGTAGGACAGATCCCTGACCCAGGTTGATCCCACAGTCAACCCCAGGGGACTCTGGGGGTAGGGCTAGGGCAGTGTCCCCCCAGGATGAGGGGCCTCTGTCCTCCTAGCCCTGTCACCTGCAATGCCTCGGAGCCGACGGGGTTCTCCTGGTCTTCTGTCCACTGCTGCCTGAAAGACAGAGGTACAGGCTGGAAGGCTCCTTCAGGGCCTCGCCCAGAGGGGTGTAGCATTTTTGCCTGGGGGTGTGGTTTTCTCATTCACCCCAGGCCCACCCCACCATCTGGGGATATCTGCTTTCTTCCTTGGCATTCCTGCATCCCTGGTACTCAGATGGGATGGCAGAGGCCGGCAGAGAGAAGTTGATCCAGGCAGTAGGGCGTGTCCAGCCTCAGGTCAGACTATAGGGCTCCCTTCCCCAACTCCCCAAGCAACACAAACTCGCCAACTAGATTGACCACAGACACCTCAGCCCGAGGATGCTCAGGCTCAGCCCCTCCCCAGACACTCACCTCTGTCTCTCCTCCTCCGCACCCCCCCCTGGCAGTCTGAGCTCCTCCTCCAGCCTCCTGCCACTTACTTCTCTTTCCAACCTTGCTCCTTTGTAGCTGCCCCCCCCCCGCCCCCCCCACTGCCTGCTCCCAATCCCACTGCCCTAGGCCCTGCACACTGCCCTCTTGGGCCCCTCCCAAGGCTGGCCAGACTCTCGAAGTTCTGAAGGCCAGAGTTCACATGATAGGGAAACTGAGGCACAGGGTGGGTGCATGCACGCCTGGATGTATGCTGCCCTGGGCAGCGGATGGTGCTGGCGCACACGCATGCACGTGCCCACGTGTGTGTGTGGTGGGGTATGTGCATGTATGTGTTTGGGGGAGGTTATATGCATGCGTGGTATGTGCATGCACGTGTCTGTGCGTGTGACCGGCTTACACACGGAGCTCGCTGACATTGTGGGGGGCCTCTTGATGAAGACTGTGGTCCCTGGAGGGTCAGTACTGCAGCCTCACCCCTCTCTCTCAAGTCCCTGGACACCTTCCCTTCCCATGCCTAGCTCTTCCCTGTGGAGAAAACTGGAAGTGCGTCTTTCACACCGGCCTCCTCAGCCCCCCCGCCCCCGCCCAAGGGAGCTCCCCACTCAGTCTGAGCAGGAGCCCCCACTTGATCTGTCATCAAAGGACCTGAGGACTGGCCAGGTGGATGTGAGGGGCACTACCCCAGGGAGTGAGCAGGAACAACACGCATGGTGAGGGCGTGGGGTGGCAAAACTCTCAGGGGACAGGGGGGGCGTATGGGGCTGCCATAGCTCAAAAATGGGGTGCCCCCCCAAAAGTCAGGACGGGGCACCGCCGCATGGTGCGCTTGTACGAGAAGTCTGAGCAGGGGGCCAGCATTGGAGGCTTTACTGGTTTTCACTAGTCATTTCTTTGGGAACAGGGGGATGACAGCTTAAAATGGATTTTCAGCAATAATGGATTCCCTTTCTTGGTTCCCGGCACCGAGCTGCAATGCAAAAAAGACAGTGTCACTTGGGCCCCGGGTGGAGGGTGAGGGAAGGGGGGAGAGCCTGGAGGCCCCCTCTCGAGGGCATTGGATCTGAGGGCCTCCTGAGTCCATTCATCGCCAGAAAACAGGGGTGCTGGAGAACCCCATGCCTTCACTCTCCCTTCAATGGAAGCAGCCAGAACCGGGACTGGAGGCATCATCAGAGCGGGCTCGGAGCAAAGGGGCTTTGACCTGAGCACGCGCAAAGCCATCGCCCTCCTGCCAGAAGAGCCTGTCCTGTCTGGGCTCCAGCTCCCTGGCCTGGTCCTGGAGCACTCACCCGCTGCCATGGTCCCCAGCCCTGCTCTGGCTCTGGCTCCTCTCAGCTCCTCAGTCCCCTGGAACCTTGTTTCCAGAAGCCTTTATGAGGTCACTGAGGGGGAGACAGCCTGGGGCCTTCCCTGCGCCTTGCCTGGCCCCTCCTTCTGCTGTTCCCTGCCCCACCCTGGGGGAGGGGAGCAGGTGGCTGCCAGGAGTAGGGTGCACGAGCTCAGCACCCTCCTGGGGCGGCTAGGCGGGGCTTGCCTTCACTTACTCTGGCTTGTCTCCCTGAGGCTGGGGGTCCTGGAGGAAGCGGACTTCCCCTTCAATGGTGGCCTTTTTGACACCGGGCTTGTTGAAACCCAGGCAGGCTCCAGGGAAGCTCCTGTGTTCCTCATGCCACAGTTTTTGCGGCTCACCAGCTTCCAGTGGTTTCTTTGGTGGCTCCTGGGGGGGCCTTTTCGGCTCCGGCTCTTCCTCAGAGGGCTGGGCAGCAGGCTCGTTGGGGGGTGTTACAGAAGGTTCCAGTGCCTTGGGAGAAGCAGCTTTGACTAAGGTGGGCAGCTCCTTGCTGTTGGAGGCCATGACCAGGGAAGATGCAAAGTTGACGACATCCGACAGACCGATGGGCGAGGGCAACTTGGAAGAGGACAGGGAGGGGCTTGGCGACAGCGGCAGCGACTGGGTGCTTACGGATAAAACATCACACTGGTCCTCGGGGCTCGGGGACTGGTCCTCCGGGCTCGGGGACAGCTCCTTGGAGTTCAGTGTATCTTCGAGAGCGGGCTTCTGGTCCGTGTGGCTGGGGGGCAGCAGGGGTGTGATGCTCCAGCCGGGCTCTGCGCCTCGGGCCTGCTCTATGCTGTGCTCCGAGGCCTGGATGTGTTTTTCTGCCCAGAAGAGGTGCTTGGAGGTCTGCACATGGATGGACCGATGGCTGCTGTCGGGTGCCCGCGCCTGCTCCACATCGAGGGGCTGTCCGTGGCAACACTGTGGCTCAGGGCTTTTCTTGAAGGAGGTCAAGCTGGTCTCCCGCTTCAGGTCTGCTTCCGTGTCTTGCAAGGGCTTGGGCTGAGGCGGGGGCACCGTGTCCTCTGGGTTGAACTCTAGGCTTGCCTCCAGTTCTGTGTCCACGTCCGAGTCTTGGTCTGGGTCGGAGGGGGACGATTCCTCCGCTTGCTCTAGTGGCTCTTCTTCCTGCTGAAAGGACAGATGTGAGAGAGTCGGAGGCCCCTGCCCCTGGAGTCCTCTCCCTTGCACAGAATACTGCTCCCATCCGCCCCCAACTGGCCCCTTTGGCAGAGCCAGGGTGGGCAGGTGATGAAGTAGGCAGGGACGGTGTGATTGCCAAGGGTGAGGGCTGGCTAGGGTTTTGGAAAGGTGCATCTCACAGAATCCTGTCCCTGACAACTCCCTCCCCCTAACAGTTCCCCGGCCCACTGTTACCTCCACCTCCTCCTCCTCTGGTGGCATTTTGGACTCAAACTGGTATCTGGAGTAGTTAGTCCTACAATAGGAGGGGATGGAGAGGATTGAATTGGGTAGCTGGGGTGGCTTCAGCAGAAAGGGGGTCTCTGGGCCCTTCCAAGCCCCCTCCTTGTATACAGGCTGGCAAGGTGCCCCCACCCCTACCCCCATATCTGCTCCCGTGGCTGCTCCACCCGCACCAAGAAGTCTAGTCTTATGCTTGGGGGAATGTGAGACGCTCCGGGAGGCCTGGTCAATTCACTCTCCTCCCTCAAAGGGGGACTCAGCTCACTGGAGGTGAGGTCCCGGGATCATTTTTATCAAGCGTTCAAGGTGAACCCATGGCCAGGGACTCAGGCAGTGGGGACACGAGGAACTTGGCAGTGACAACACGGGGTAAAATGGGGAGTTCGGGGGGAGGAGGAGGTCCTACAATGATGGGGAGCTGGTTCTCACTTTGAGTCTAAAATAGCCACCGATCCCTTGTCACAGCAGGGAAATCCATTGGCACCTGGCAGGGAGAAGAAGATGAGGGCCCAGGAGCTGCAGGGCAGGGGGGCAGTCTGAGGGATTCTGGAGGCAGGGCTGGGTAGTTCACCCCAAACTGCCCTCCCTTACTCTCCCTGCCCCTTACCTTATAGCCCATTCCCACCCTCTCTCCTTGCCAGTCTCGTGAGCCTTATCTTGCACGGTTACTCGCCCCTGCTGCCTCCACAGTCAACTTGACCTTGTCTCCATCCCTGTCTTCCGTGGGGGTTAAGGTGAGGAGATGGCAGCCCCATTTATGGAGGGCTCACTGAGTCAACACAAACAGAAGAGGTCCATGTGCCCACAGCTGATTATAACTGAAGTCAGGAATGACTTAACTCAGTTCTAACTCTGATAACATAGTCCCCCTGCCTAGTCCTGCTGGCTGCATACTGGGAGGGGTCCCCGTTAACCTCCTTCATCTCCCTCCCTTCTGCCCCTCAATCCCCATTCTCTATTCTCTTGAAACCAACTTGCCTTTCACAGGCTTCTTATTCCGTCACACCCTGGGGGTTGTCCATCCTGAGTTCTGGGTCAAGGCCTTCACCCCAGATGCTTGACCTGAGGTGACCACTACCTGGGGATTTATGAGCCCAGAGCTTGCTCTGCCAAGGAGAGGGGGTGCTCTCTGGGGGAGGCAGTCCCATCCCAGTTACCTCCTCAGGGACTCATGGCTTTCACTGCAGTAGCTCCTCATGCATCCTTGGGGTGGGAAATGCCGGACTATGGCATCCTCTGCTCCCCAGGGTGGTGGATGGAGGGTGATGGTGAGACTACCATGGCACAGCTGGGCCCCCATGGGCCTGAGGTGTGGCAGGCAGTGACAGTCCTGGCTGGGAATAACTGCTTCCAGGCTCTCAGAGAAACCCGGTTATGTTGCGGCCTCCACACAGAAACACAGAGGTTGGGAAGGGGCCCTGCACGGGTGCTATTGGGATGGGATTGGGAGTGGGGACTATTCCTAAGGGATAAAGTAAAAGACCAGAACAAAAGATCAGAAGGCGGTGGAATGCATTATAATGAAATGTGCAAAGACCCGGAAGCAGAAAACCAAAAGGGAAGACCATGGGCAGCGTTTCTCACACTGCACAGAACACAGAAAAGAAAAGAAAATCCGGAAGAAAAGCATGCAAGCCTCTCGTTACAATATTGTAGGGTTCTATGGGCAAACTATTGAATGATGCAAGAAGCATCAAAAAATAATAATGAGGAATACATAGAGTCATTGTACCGAAAATAATTGGTCAACCATTTCCAGAGGTAGCACACGATGAAGACTGATGGTATTGAAGGAAGTCCAATTTGCAAGAGTGGGGAAAAAAGAAAAGCAAATGAAATATCAGGGTTCAGGAATTGATGGAATATCAATTGAGAGGGA